ACATGATATATTTTTTTCTGTAGCCTAATGTAATTTGAGGGTAAAGCTATTGCAACTTGAGGCTAGTTGAATACTGGAACAAGTAGCTCAGGGAGGTGGCAGACTGATGGAGAAGAAATTGAAGATACTCAAAACCTAATTGAACATAGTCTTGGGCAACATGCTGTTGTTGATGCTGCTTGAGCAGGGCAGTTGCACAAAAAATTTCAAATATATATTGGTACAGGGCCAAAATTAGAATTACAGAAATGCTTTTTGAGCTTTGGTGTAGGTCACATGTGTAGGTTGCTGGACTATGGAAAAATCTTTTCTTCCATCTACCCCTTGCAGCTTTACAGAGAGAGGAACGCATGGCCTTCTTTTTGGGCAAGGCAATACAGAGCTGAGAGCACAACTTAATGTTTGAAAGTAGAAATCAATTTCCCTTCAGGTTATTCTGGTGAATAACTTGAGCTAATGACTATAAATGTAGCTGCTGGTGTAGCTTGTAGCGCTTGTTTGAAGAGCTTTGGTCAATTGCTGCCCACCTTTATTCATGTCAGGCTACTGAAATGTATTGAAGAACTTGATAGAAGTGCTACAGCTGAAAAGATTTTGCTATACTATAATGGCATTTTATGAATGCTCACTTAAGAATATTTGCTTGTATTTAAATGGAAATGCAAGTTAAGACTTGGATCACCATCTATCTCTAACAGCCAGATTTGAAAACATTTGCAGGGCAGCCTTTATACCTTGCTGTTCTTGAGTGACTGGAGTGAACTGTTGTTCCTGGTTCAACATCGGAGAGTGTGGGTAGTAAATGCTGTGTTTAAGACTGCATACATTTCTCTTGTCAGTGAAGGTTATATTTTGCCTGCCTGAGATATGAGGATTTAGTCAGGTAGTCAACCAGTTGGAAGTATAACACTTCATGCTGCTATATATATATATATTTTAATGGAGTATTAAAGAACTCCTTTCAGTCTTATTTTGTATCTGTCTAAAGTGTGTATCATGTTGAGTCTGAATGTTTTGGCTGATATTTTTCTAGCCTTTCTGGATAGCGATCTGAAAGGTAGTCAAGGTAGCAGAGCTATCTTGAGTTATATTTTGTTTTACAATTAGTAAACAAGTTCAATTCTGGCAGTTACATGGTTTTCTAGTTAGTTTCAAGGATATAATGTGGTAAGACATAAATAGGAAGTTTGAGACAGTTCACAGATTTCAGTGTTGTCCAATTTCAGTTGGGTTTCTTGGAAAAAAGTCACAAGGATACCTCATTCTGTCAGCTCTCAGAAATGGGAAAGGAGACAGTGACAACACTGACAGCATTTATAGCATGATCAGCAGCAAGAGGAAGACTAGGGAAAATGTTAGTCCGCTGCTGAATGGGGAGGGTGCCTTGGTGACGAAGGATGCAGGAAGGCAGAGTTACTAAATGCCGTCTTCCTCAGCCTTTACTGCTAAGGCCAGTCCCCATGTACTGAGCCTGGAGATGAGAGAGAGAACCAAGAGAGAAGAGGGCTTTCCACTAGTCGAAGAGAACTGGGTTAGGGATTATTTAGGCAAACTGAACATCCATAAAGGGTGCCCAGGGGGGATGCACCCAAGAGTGCTGAGGGAACTGGCAGGGGTCATTGCTCAGCCACTGTCCATCATCTTCAAGAGGTCATGGAGGGCAGGGGAGGTACTGGAGGCCTGGAAGAAAGCCAGTGCCATCCAGTCTTCAAAAAGGGCAAGAAGGAAGATCTGGGAAGCAACAGGCCGGTTAGTCTCACCTCCATCCCTGGAAAGGTGATGGA